TATATATAATATAATAATAATAAATAAAATAAATAATATATNTATNTATATATAATATATATATATATATATATATATATATATATATATATATATATATAAAGGAGTCATTATAAATTAATAATTTTATCTTAGAAAATTTAAAAATTAGAATTAAATGATTAAAATAAAGGATTTATTGAAGATATTCTATGGATTTTATCTGATATTTTAAATAAAAATAAATTATTGTACTATAAGATAAAAAATGTATGAAAAATTAATTTTATTATTAGAAATTTATAATCAATAATTATCTATATTGGTAGCTTGTATTAAATGCATTAATATTTTATGTTTTCATGATGATTTTAATTGTATTTAATTATTTAATTTTGGAGTTCTTACTTATCTTAAAAAATATTCTGTCAGTGAAAATTATTATTTAAGGAAAACTTCTATAAATACTCTTTCACATATTTCTGCTGTTGAAAATAACGATATTAAATTTTCATTGTTTGATGAAGATATTTTTTAATCTATGTATCAATGTATTTATAACGACTCAGGTGTCCTTTTTGAATATGCAGTTTATTTTTTGATTTCGTTTTGTAAATATTAAACAAAAGATTAACTTATTTGTGCATTTGAAAAACTAGATCTACTTAAAGCTTTTGAACATATTGTTTGCGGAATTTAATATAATCAAATCGATGATAATTAAATTGAAAGTATAAGCTATATGAGAAATTTATTAGGAGAACTATTAGAAAATGAATAGTTTGAATAAAAATTTTATTAAAAAATTAAATTCTTGTTTGAATAATCTAGTGAACTATTAGATAATATATATTTTAATAAATAATGAGTTTTATTTTATTTAAAAAATATAAAGGTTTATTATTTGATATTTTTAAATCTTATTTTTAATTATTTATATTTATAATTTTTTAGTATAATATATATACATAATACATATATGATAAATATATATATAAATATAAATATATATATATATATATATATATATATATATATATACATATGTATTATATTTAACATTAATTTTCAAATAAAATAAATAAAAATATTATTAATAAAATTTAATTAAAATCAATTAATTATTTATATTAAAAAATTTTAAATTTATATTTTATTTTAGAAAAGAAAAATTAAATTAAAAAATATGAATAATATAACAAACATAATAAGAAGACCAGAAGCAATATAAAATTAAATATGTGAAAAAAAAAAATATAAAAATATATATATATATATATATATATAAATAAATTAAAAATAGTTTAGTTTAAAAGTTCTATTCATTCGAATAAATTTAATTATAAAACATAATAAAGTATTGAGGATAAATATAATTATAAAATTCCTTCAATATTAAAATAAAAAAATAAAAGACTAAATGAAAAAACAAAACAAAAGTTTTCCACATCATAATCAAAATATTTATATAAGGAAAAAAAAATGATTAAAAATAATATAACTTAAACATTAGAGCATACGAATAATAGTATTATTGGAAAAGATGATATATAATCATTAAAAACATAGAAATAATATTTTAAATTGAAATAATAAATAAAACCATCATTAAATTATAATTTAAAAATATAGAAAAAAAAGAAAAAATAGAAAGTACAATAATATAAGTGTAGACAAAAAATACGACTTCTTATGAAAATATATTTGATAATAATATTTCTATGTAAAATTTTATTATTTAGGGAGATTTAGGAAAAGGTTCTCATGCAAGTGTAAAATTAGCAATTCAAAAAAATACAGGAATTTATTTTGCATTGAAAATTTATTATAAATTTAATCTTTTAGACTAAAATAAACTGAAAAATGTTAAAAGAGAAATCTCGATTTTAAAAAGAATTTAACATTAAAATGTAATAGGAATAAAATATGCTTTTGAAGATAAATAATAAGTAAAATAAAAAAATAATATATATATATAAATATTAATTAAAAAATATTTAAATGAATAAATTAAAAAAGATTGTTTTAGCTTTAGATTATTATTCAAAATAATCATTATAAAAGTAATAATAATTAAATAAAAAAATAATATTAATATAAATATATATATATATATACATATATTATATTTTTTCATTTTTTCATTTTATCACTTTAAATTTATATATATTTTTGAATAAAATGATTTAATAATTTTTATTTATAATTATATATTTTTTTCATATATATGTATATTATTTATTATATATATATATTAGTTACATTAAAAAATAATGTGAAAGAGTAATACCTGAATTTGAAGCTAAATATATTTTTAAATAGATAGTTAGTGCTATTGCTTATTGCCATTCTAAGAATATTGTTCATAGAGATATAAAACTTGAAAATATTCTTTATGAAAACTAAAATGTTAAAATTATTGATTTTGGATTTGCTGTTTGTACAAATTTAAAAATTAAAATTTTTTGTGGCACTCCAACTTATATGTCCCCTGAAATAGTTTCAAAAATAGAATATTGTGGTAAAAAATCTGATATTTGGTCTTTAGGTATTGTTCTTTATATTATTTTAGTTGGAAGATGTCCATTTTATGCACATTCAGATATTGAGTTATTTAAAAAAATTAAAAATAATAAATTAGAATTTCCAGATAATTTAAATCCTTAAGCTTTTAATTTATTAAATAAAATTTTAAGAAAAAATCCTGAAGAAAGGCCTTTTTGTGAAGAAGTAAAAATTAATCAAATAATTTTATAAAATTCATTTTTTTTTTTTAGATTTTAAATGATTAATGGTTTTATTGAATATTTGTTTTTTTAAGATATAATTTTTATGTATATATCATATATTTTTCAATATTTTTATTTATTTTTTTGGAAATATAATTTATAAAAGTATTGTTTATAAGAATTAATATTCAAAAAAAAAAAAAACTTAAAATATTATTTTTTTTAAACATAAACTAAATGATTGAAGAAGAAGAAGATAAAGCAGAAGATTACGGAGGAAATTTAAGGGAATCATTATTTGAATTATTAGGAGATAATAGAGTTGAAGTGGCAAGAGTAAAAGACCGAGAACGAGGTGATACAGAAATAATGTATTAAAAATTTTCATTTATAATCTAAATACATATATATATAATAAGAGATAAATCATAAATATATACTAAAATTGAAACTTAAAATGAATTAAATAATATAGTTTTATATTTAAAAGTAATTTGATTTTTTTTATTTATTTATTTGTTTATAATTATTATATTTTTTAGCATTTTAGTTGGGAATAAAGATTTGACTGGATTTTTTAGTAAAAATAAAAAGGTAATAGATTGTATAGAAAATAATTATATTAAGAAGCTATAAAATGCTTCATGTAAGGTTTAATGGGATTAGATCTAAGCTAAAAAGACCAGGAGGTTAGTTATATTAAAATAATTTATAATTTATTTTTTTAAAAGAAATTGAAATAAATTTAATATTAACTATAATTGCCACTTTTAACAAATATAGCTACTTGCTTAATAAAATTAAATAAATACGAAAACGCAGTCCTTTTATGTGATAAAGTATATAAATATATATAAATATATATATATATATATATATATATATATATATATTTATATATATTTATATATATATATATACATTATTTTAAATTATTTTTTTATATATTTAAATTTTTTTCATAAAGGCTTTAAATATTGATATCAAACATGTAAAAGCTAACAGTAAAAAAGGTGAAGCTTTAATGTATTGTAGATATTATGATGAATCTATGTCTTATCTTAAAAAAGCATTTGATTTTAGTTAGGTTCTTTATAAATTAAATATTAATTTATAATATTAAATATATTAAAAATAATAAATATATATGTAAAGAATGATGAAGAAAAGAAAAATATTTATTTATTATATAAGAAGTTAAAATTAAGAATTTAAAAAGAATAAAATGCATTTAAAAAGATGTTTCCTCCTCCTTTAGAAAAGAAAGTATATTTTTTTTATTAAAAAATAATAATAATATTACTTTAAGATTGAAGAACAAAAAAATAATGAAATTATTAATGAATCATAAAATAATATAGATATTATATAAGAAATTAATTAAATTAGTGAAAATATTAATTTATAAAATGTAAATCCTATTTAATTATATGAAAATTAAAATAAATTAAATATTTAAAATAAAATGGGATTTCTTTATTTTATTGTTTATCCTGTTTTAAATATTTTACAAGCAATAAATAAATATATTGGATGTAAAAGAAAACATTAAATCGATAAATAATATGATGATGACTACGATGATAATACATATGAATAAAGTGATGAAATAATTGAATATAATGATACTAATGAAAGTGATGAAGAAGAAAATTGAATTTTTAATAACAATTGTTATTTTATATTATTAAAATTGTAAATTTTTAAAAATATTTATTCTATTTGATAAAAAAAAAAAAAATTAATATTTATATTATTCAAAAATAAATAATTATATTAAATTCATATATAAATAATGCTTTAATTCATTAATTTAATAGTATAAAGAAAAGAAGATTTTTTTAGTAATAATGCAGTAAATGCGTTAAATGCTTAAAATATAAATACAATAAAATAAATATTAGATGGTTCATAAATTAAAAATGTTAGCGTAAATATATATATATTCAAAATTGATATATAAATATATATATATATTTATATATATAAATATATATATATATATATATATATATTAATATTTATATTCATAGTTCAAACCAAATAGTTTTTTTAAATATTTAGTATTAGCAGCAAGTACTACAGGAGTGTAAAATTATTTAATTATTTAATTTCAAGCTCAATATTGTTTATATATTTTAGATTATTTTATTTTGTTAATCATAAAAAGAAATAATTTCAAGAAAATCATTAAAAATATATTAAAAGTTCATTATTATTATCTTTAAAAGAAAACGATAAATAGTTGTAATTAAATAATTTTGAAGATATTGAATTATTAGATTTATAGACAATTAAAAATATTATTTTAAAATCTATTTAGTATATTGGAAATGGTTATATTAATTATAATATAAAAAATAGATCAGGTATTATTTTTTCTTTTTATTATATGTATGTATACTTATATATATATATTTTAAAATAGATAGAAGATTAATTATAAAGAAAAATGAAAATTAATACTTTGATCTTGTTATTTAATATATTTTAGTTACTGAAAATATGTTAGATGAGGCAGTGAGTAAATTTTTAAAAGAACATAATATTCCATAGCTTTTATATGAAACAAGTATCAATTAATTAATAGAAAGTTAAAGTTATTAACAAATATATATGTTGAAATCTAATTTGAGATAAAAAGCAATGTATATATATTTATTATTTTTATTTATTAAACAATAAATTAAAAAAAGCGAATTATTATTACCAAAAAAAAGCATATTACATATGAAACTATTAAACTTATAATAAGATTTTAAATCTATTATTTAAAAAATAAATAATAAACATTCAAAAATATAATTACTTTAATCAATGTAAATATATATAATATATTTTAATAAATTTAAAATTACTAAAAAATAAGAATAAACCTTAATTGACTAAATTTATTCCTTAAATTATTAATATTATACTTTAAGATATGGTTTTTGAAAAATTTTAAGTAGAAGAAGAATTGCAAATTTATATTATGAGTGATGAATGTAAACTAAATATTTTATAATTTTATAATATTAATAATAATAGAAGTTTAAAAGGATAATGAAATTAAAATTTTATTATAATAAATAGAATAAAACATGTTGAATTTGATGAGAAATTTAGGTTTAGTAAACGATTGAAAAATAATCAATATTATTTGCTTATTTTTTCATATATATTATTTGTTAATATTGACTTTTATTTTATTTTTTTTTAGGAAAAAAAAAAAAATATCCCCATTTTTTTGTTTTTGTTCTTTATGTTTTTTTTTTTTTCCATAAAAAAAATATATGAATAAGTAATAAATTATTTTTTGTTTATATCATTATTATTATTATAATTTTTTAAAAGATTGAAGACTATAATTTTATTAAAGAGATTTTTTTTTTTTGATTTAATAAAAAAAAATGATTTGTTATTTTCATGTAAATTCTTATAAATAACTATAAGAACTTTATTCCTTAAATATATTTTAAAGCTCATATAATTATAATTTTCCAATTTATATACTTTAGCATCTATCTTTTCTTATATTATTAACCATATCATCTTTTGTAATTTTTTAATTCTAAATAAATAAATGAATAAAAATTTAAATATTTTTTAGTTTTTTTTATTTTATTTTTTTTACAAGCCAAGGGTGTTTTAAAGCTTAAAAAGCTGTGATTCTTTTTTAATAATTTTTTTCTAATAATAATTCTAAAAAATTTAATAAATCTTAATCTTATATATGTTTTTCTAAATTCAGATTTTATTAAATAATATTTTAAATAACTTGTTTAATATTTTAACTTTAGTTAAAAAAATATAAAAATTCAAAACTAAATATACCTTTCATCCTCAAAAGGATATTTCCCGAATATAAGAATATATAAATTCACTCCTAAAGCAAATAAATCAACACTATGCGAGTAAAACATTCCTTATAGCATTTCTGGTGCTTTAAAATGTATAGTACCTGTATTTGTAAATAATTTTTAAACAGTCACTATTTTAGAAACGGTGAAATCGATAATTTTTAGTTTTCGAGTCTATTAATTATATATTATATTATTATTTGATAAATCTCTATGTACAACTCCTTTTTGATGCATATATACTAGTCCTTTAAGTATTTGTCTAATTATGTTTTGAATTTCTTTATTAGTAAATCTAATATTCATTTAATTATACTAAGACAATGTAAACCCAGTTACATATTCGGTTACTATATAAACTTTCTTTTTGTTTTTTTAAAGGAAAAATTCTTTATACTATAAAATATTTTCGTGGTTTAAAAGAGAAAGTATTCTTTATTCTTGAAGTATCTTTTTATTTTTATTTTTTTTTAAAAAAAAAACAGATATATATTTTTTTTTTACTTCAAATAAATATTCAGTATCTTTATATGTAATTATTTTAACTGCAAATTATTTAGAATTTAAAATGTTTTTTCTTTGACATAATTTTACTATAGAATGACATCCCTTTATTTTAAATATATTAAATAAACATATGTATTTTTATATTTACTTCTCCTATCTTTTTGCCAAGTATGTAATTAACTTTAAAATCGTTTTTTTCTTAAATTTATAAATCTTCGCTTAGTATCTATGATTTTGTAGTTATTATTTTATATTAATTCATTTTTCTTTAAATTTTTACAGGAGAATATAAAGAGTCTATATTTAAATATGAGATTTCTATAGATTGTTATCTTCTATTAATATTAAGCTGTCTTAATAAAGGTTTATAATTTATTTCTACTGGAACATGTGTTTAATAGTATCCACTAGTAAAAGAAACACTCTTAATTTTTTGAAAAGTGAAAAAGTTTGACTATAACTGTTCTTATGATTTAATTTAATTTTGTAAATGTGGTTAAATATAATGTTTTTTTTTCATTTTTTTATTAATGCTTTTATTTTAAGTATATAGAATAATAATAATATTAGTAAGCAATTCCTTTTTAATTTTTAATGCCTATATTAATTAAAATTTAAGCAAATGAAAAAAAAAAAATATTCTAAAAAGAAATATAAAAATGATACAATAAAATAATAATAATAAAAAAAAGATTTAATAATTTATATCAATCGATAATATTCACAAACCAAATTTATTTAGTATAAGCAATATTTGAATTTCCTGAGTTTTAATTTAATATAGTAAATCTGCTTTTATTTTCTATTTAATTGATATTTTATTTTTCTTAACAAAAAACCCGAGAATCATTGAAGCTTAAATACTTTTAAGATGACAAATTTTTTAAATAAAATAATTAATTTTCATGTAATACATTTTATATGGTATTCTCTAGAAATTATATTTCCCAAATTTGATTTTCTTGGAAAAAATATTTTTATTATTATCCACAGGAAACATTTAATTTAAATTTATTTTATTCTTAAAATAATAAATTGGATTTTTAAATTTATAAATAATATTATGTAGGGATATGCTAAATTTAAATAATATCCTCGTTTTCTATTAAATTTATTTCGTTTTTTTATTTAAATAAAGGATTGAATTTCCATTCACAATATATTTGATTTTGTTCTAGATTTTCTTACATTTTTATCAAATTTTCATTTTAATTTTCTTTTAAGCGAATATATTTAGAAAATAAATATTTTTATTATTGTGTAAAAGTTTCTAAATTTTATATTAATAACTTATCACCGTATTTTATTTGCCTTTTATTTTTATTTTAATTTAGATTCTATTAAATTATATCATTTTAATCATCATTATATTTTTATTCACTACTAAAAGAAAATATATTAGAATTGTTCTCTGAATTTATTGTCATTAATTTTTCGTGTATAGTATATATATTCTTTTTATCAGAATGTTAGTTTTTATATTATTACTTTTATTTAACATTTTCTTATATTTTTGTATACTTTTTATTAACTGTTAGTATTTTTGTTTAAAAATTTTATTTAGATATATTTGAGTGAACATTATAATCATTTTCATATGAAAAACATAATTAACCCATTATTTATATAAAAAAATTATATAATTAAAATTATTTATTTTTTATAATCTTAAATATCGCAATTTTTATATTATTTTTGAAGAAAAACGTCTATAAAATTAAATATAATCAAATATTTTTTTAGATGTAAATAAAGTATTTTATTTACTATTATAATAAAATAGGCTTAATATTAATTATAATGTTAAGATTTTAAAAATTTAAATTTTAATTACACAATAAGTAATATTTAATCTTTTTAAATAAATAAATAAATAAATAATTTAATTTACATAGAATAGATTAAAAAGTTTAAATCTTTGAATTTAATTTATTTGTTTTTTAACAAATAAAAATATAACTACTATTTAAACTATATTTATAATATTTTTAATTATGTTTTTTAATTTAATTTAGTAAATATGATAATTATTTGTATTTTTTAAGTTTTTTATTTAATATAGGATATATAATAATTATTTGATTTTGTAAACATAACAAAAAAAAATATAAATTAATAGATATATATTATTATTAGAACAATAAAAATAAAAATATTAACAAATATTATATCAAAAATTGAAAAATAAAACTCATAAGTAAATTTTGATGAATAAAAATCAAAAAATAGACAACAAAATATAATTAAAAACATTTTTAAAATAAAAATATTGTATAATATTTTAAATAATTTTTATAAATTAAATATATAATTATAAATATAAAAATAATATCTTATAAAAATAAATATAAAAAAACACATAATGTATTATTTTGATATTAATATAATAAAAAGATTAAAAAAATATTTTATGTTGTTAAATAATATTAGAAGTTTAAAAGTAAAAAAAAAAAAAATTAATAAATATATAATAATTAATAAATTTAAAGCTTAAGAAGAAAAAAAAATGTGAAATTAATTAACAATAAAAATATGAAATTAATATAAAAATTAAATAAATAAACTAAATAATAAATATATAAATAATATATATATATATATATATATATACTAATATATATATTTATTTATTCATATTTTATTTTTTATCCTTTATACAAAAATTTTTTTTAATAAAATAACTTTTGTCCGTTTAATAATAATTTTTGTTTAGTTTTAAATGTAATGTAAAATAGAATAATTTATTTACTTATCAAATAAAATATTTCATTTATTTTTAAATAAATTTTTTATTATAATAAAAAAATGAATTATCGGAATAATATTTAAAGAACTGTTTTATAAAAAACATTTAACAACTAATTTTTATAAACATCAAATGTTCGAAATTTAATAAAAAAATCTAATAATGTATCACAAAATCGTTCGTAAATATGTCTTTTTTAGAATAATAATAATTAGTTTTAGGAACTTAATATAAATAATAATATTAATTTAAATATCTCTAATAGAGTAATTACTTTAAATTAAGGTGTAGTTTCTCGAATGGATTCTGTTAGTCAGGTTAGGTCTCCAAATAATTCGTATAGTCAATAAATTTATTAATTAAATTAATTATAAGCTAATTAACAAATAAAGAAAAAACGAAAAATATCCTAAGAATTTAATATTTAATATTATATTTAATTAGTTATTCAGCAAACTCTATTTATAAATATCTGTATATAAATATTTTTAGTTATGGTTTTATTTAAATTTTTATATGGACTACATTACATTACTATATTTTTATTCATGTGGATTTCAGATATTATATATTGTTTTTTTAGATTAAAAAGATTAAGCTTGGAGTAAAATAAATATATTTATATATATTAAAAATTTATTTATTTTTATACTTTTTTTTTTTAAAAAAAAAAATAAAAAAAAAATTAACTTCCTTTTTTTATTTGAAGGCTATTAATTCAAAAAAACTTGAAAAATAATTATATATGGATTTATATTGAAACTTTACTTTCTATTTTTTTTAAAGTAATTTTTGTTTTTTTCCTCTATAATATTTTTTTACATATTTTAAAAAAAAAAATAGAAGATTAATTATATGATTTATTTAAATGGAATTGAATTTAAGTTTTTTACTTTTCGCTTTTGATTTTATTATATAGTTTTATTAGATTTACCATCTTTATATTAAAATAAATTAAATATGATATTACTATGTCTTTAGTTATTAATGATTCAGTTTATTTTTATTATTTATTTTTTTAAAAATATAT